ATGCTCCTACCTGGTGAGGGTTGGGCGAAGGGTTTCTAGGAGAACAGTGGGGTTATGTGGGGGCCATGTGTGACTGAGAGGTGCCTCCCGAATCTCTGTGGCCGCTGGAGTGCACAGCTGTGGAGCTCAGCTGCATCAACAGAACTGAGGTGCCCTGTGTGTCGGGCTGTGACCTCCTTCTGCTGGGACAGCAGGGTGCAGTGGAAAGAGAGCTGGGCATGGAATCAGAAGACTTAGGTATGAGTCTCAGCTCCGGGGCGAGGTGCCTCATTTCTCTGAGCCACTATTTCCCTAACTGAAAGGCAAGAAGAAAACTGACCCACTGGATGTGCCTCACAGGCGCGTTGTATGGTTTAAATAAAAAATGGCGTCTGAAAAGCGTTATGTAAATTAGAAAGCTCCATAAAAGTGCAGGCTGTATTCCGTAGCCTGTGAGACAGTTGTCTGTGATCCTTAAAAAACAAAACAAAACAAAACAAAACAACCCAACAGCTTTCTTAAATCACTTTCCTAAGATACAGATAAAAAAGGTTAGTGAATTATCAAATACATGAAGTGTTTCACTACGTCCACATACTTTTCCGACATGTCGTAATTATAAAAGTCATTGTATCAGATCCATAAAGAACTGTATATGCAATTACAAATATCTAATTATATGTGAAAAGTATATATACATAATATAAAAATCAAATTATATATCATTTCAAAAAAATATGACTAGATCATTTTTAAAGTGGTAACTGATCTTATAAATGTATACGGTTATACCAAAAGTTTTACAAAAATAGCCTAAATCCAGAGTCTCCATTTCCCAGCTTCAGCAAGCGATGTGTTTTATTCCTATGGTAGCCCACTGAGTCTCACAGTCATCCGCGGAGCCTGAGAGGTGAGGAGGCCGCGATGCTCAGCTTCCTACAGAAACCCGTTAACTCTTCTGGTCAGGCGGTTCTCGGGAGCAATCCTCTTCATTCTCCTCTGAGCAAGACAGGGGCAGAGCGCTCATCACGGGATGGATCCAGGATGTCGTCTGCGTTACGTGACTTGAGAAGAACAAGGGAGGAAATTACAACCCGCAAGATTGTCCTTTTCTCCCCATCCACGCAAGCCCCGATCCTCCTGACATTGCTTCTACCCTACTGCATGCGGTCCCTTGTGACAGGAAGCAACTCGAACTGGATCCAATCCTTTTTATAAGTCTTAGACACGTCTTAAGGTTCACCAAAATCCACTTGTTTTTTTCTTCTTGGGTAAAAAGAAGTGCAGGAGGATGCTTCATCTTTGGTTCCTCGCTTTTCCTTACCTGACATTCATTCATTTAGCCAGCGAGTCCTGCGTAACAGTTCTGGACCCTTTCCCTTCCTCTTCCTGGCCAGTGCGAGCCTAGGTCACTGAAGTTGCTTGTTCTAGCTCTTTTCTAATTCATGCTCCACTCCAGCCAAGAGATCTTTCCAATGACAAATCACACACTGGTGCTCACTTGCTAAAAATTCAGTGCCAACCAATATCTTCTGGATCGAATACCATATTTTGCCGTGTATAATATGCACCCATGTTTCTGGCCCAGACTTTCAGGGAACAAAACCCTTTCATTTAAATGTTTTATTCAAANTATGGAAATCTTTTCTGAGCCATTTCTGGGCAGAATGTGGAAAAATGTAACCTACCGTAATATACCGATAACAAGTGAGAAACAACGCAAAGACAAGCGTGAAAAAGCGGGAAATGCAGGTAAAAAAAATCTACAACCACTGTATAAGATGTACCCAGTTTTTAAACCCCAAATTTTTCGAAAAAGGGTGCATCTTATACATGGGGAAATACGATAACCCTAATGATGACCAAGTTCAGATCTTGAGGCAATGATGGAAAGACGGTTATTCTTCTAAGGATAAAAACAATCCCAAAAGCTACTGGCAGTCTTAGGACCAAAGAAACTCCTGTAATATAGAAAAAGGAAGCTCTCATATACTATCGGTGGTCATATAAATTGGTTCTACTTTTATGGAGGAAAATTTATGAATATCTACCAAAATTAAAATAAACATACCTTTGATGTAACAATTTACTTTTATGAATGTATTTCCACTCTAGACATATTGGTACAAAAGTGCATCAATGTATGAGGAAAAGGATTTAATGACTATAAGAATATGAATGTAAGAATGTTCACTGTGACATTGTTAGTAACAGAAAACTTAGAACAGCCTAAGCGTGCATCCACAGATGACTGGCTATACAAATGATGAATTATCTGGGTAATATTGTAGGCAGACATTTGAAATATAACATTAATCTATACATTCACATAAAAAATAATCACAAGACATTAAATCAAAAGAAAGCTGATTTCCTTTGAGTAAAAATATTGATCAAATATTAGTGATAATATTACCTCTGGAAAGTGAGATGGGCTTTTTTTTTTTTTACTTTATTTAATTCTATACTATTTGGGTTTTTTTAAGCAAAAATAGATTTTTAAAATTCAAAAATGTAAGAGAAGCTGCTCAATTCTGGCCACCTGAGAAGCTTTCTACTTTCTAGCCAACAGCAAGCAGAGCCCAGGACGTGGCTAGCTAGCTACCAGCCCTATGTCACCAAGCTACCCAACACAGCGTTTACTTGGCACATTATTGGAGCTCAGGAAATATCCTGAGAATGAATAAGGGTGGCTAAACCTGGTCGCTCTACTGAAGTGAGACGGGAGGACATCAGAACATGGAGATGTTCTAGGCCTACAATTGAGTCGGCTGGTCAACTGAGAAGAGTTCACAATGACCACACTGATAGGACTGATTATACGAAAGGGAGACTGGCTTTGTAAACATCAACTCACCAAGAAACAATTTGGGGTTCTGTTGGCAATGGAAAAAAGTTCTTAATGACTCCCCACTGTATGTTTCTTTGAGCGTCTCTCAGGGCATTTATTTCCTGGTTTAGAGGTCACAAAAGAGAAGGGGATGTCAGAGAATGCCCAAAGGGTCCAGCCCATTCAGACTCTGAACCTCCTCAGCCACATTCCTACAGTAAGGGGTTACGATGGACGGAACGCCCCCTGGGACAGTGTGTCCACTTTTCCTGGGGAATTTTTTTCCTGAGCGCTAACTACCAGAAAGTTCCTTACTGCACTAAAACGGAACCTGCCTCTTTGTAAAACTGACCCACAGACCCCAGCTCTGTCCCTAGCATCATGTACCACAAAATCCAAGCAGCTCTGCAGGGAACCCGCCTTAAACCCCACCTTCTACATGAAAGTGCTGGTGGCTATAAGGCAAAGATTAGCAACTCTCTCTAAACCTAAGTTTCTGCTATACAACATGGGATGATGCTAGTTCCTACCTCATGGGTTGTTTTAAGAAGATAATGAACTAATATATGCAAACTGCCAATCCCAGTGTATGGCACAAAATGCTTGAAAAATAATAGTGCAATTTTTATAGGACTTTTCCATTAGGCGTTTGACAGAAGCAGGGAAGAAGGTGGCACACAAAACACCAAGTTAACACATACGGTGTCTGTCCATGAAATGTGCACCCGAAGACCTGGATCTCGGGCGAATCTAGCATCTCCTCTGTGTTCCCTTACTAGAAACAAATGAGAAAAAACGCTCCCAGAAGGGGGAGGGAAATTTCATACCATTAATTTGGCAACAACAAAAAGTCTGCACTTTCACAATTAAAGATACTAACTCTTGAAAGTAACTTCAGGTGTTTCAGAAGCTCACTCACCTCTGGGGGGAACACAAGGAAAGAGCCCCTCAGGGGCTTCTCTCAAAACTGGCCTCCCTGCAGCTTCCGATTATTCAAAGAGCTGTCAGGTGAAACACAAGTCTTCTCCAGGCATTCTGAAACTTTGCTCAGGGCTGAGGACTACCTATCAGTGTGGATGTGACCTTACGTAATTATTCAAGACATACATTATAAATCCTACATATATTCAGGGATGTATGGGTCATCACAAGGTGTACATATATTTATAATACACATCTATATTATATGCCATGAAATTTAGTATAGTGGGAGCCTGAGATCTAGGTCTACTCTTGACCTGGCCACGAACTCTTAGGACTGGCGATTCTTACACTACATTCGACGGAGCTTTGGGTTTGCACAGCTGTCCTGGGGGCTGCTTTCACTGGGCTCCAGGCCTCCATCTTGTTTCAACAGAGCAGCAATATTTCATAAAAAGCTGTTACATATATTGGGATTCTGCATAAGAATTCATTTGCAAAAAAAAAAAAAAAAAGGGTCTTTTTCACCAAAAAAGGTTTGAAAATCACTGAATCAGATGATCCACAAGGTTCCTTCCAGAACCTCAAAGTTCGGAATTCTGTTTTCTACTTGTATGTCAGAAGTGGGGAGGAAGATAGGGAGAGCAAGAGAAGGAAGGAAAGGGGAGGATAAGGAGAGGAGGAAGAGGCATACTGGGGGGGAAGGGCGGGAGGGGGCAGGAGAAGAGAAAAGAATAGACCAGAGTGATAAGCAGTAGCTTCTCTGTGTTACCAGGTGTGGTTTGGGAACAGGTATTCTGATAAATTAATGAAGCTTACTTTCTTTCTAAGTGTATTGTCTAAAAATATAACATTGGATAAGAATAAGTGCCTTTTTATTATTCAGTTGGTATCTAATGCCCAGGACATTTAAAATGACTTCCTCCCCCACTCCACCCCGCTCCCCAGCCCTGGGTTTAAATCATTAAACAGAGAGGAAATCTTTAGCACTCCACATTAATGGCTCATTCCTGCCAGAAACTGTCTAGTAGCATCCTTACAATCAAATGAAATCAAATGTATAATTAGTTGGAAGGGTGATATCAGCAATAATGAGGTGAGTCTTGAACTCCCAGTAGAAGAGGGTTCAGGATGTCTCTCTTCTGATAACAGAGGGGATTCTGGGTGCCCTTCTTTCTCAGCAAGCCCCCTCACAGGCCCCCTCAGGCTCGGGCTACATAAGCAGGGCTGATGTGAGCCAGCTCCTTTACTTGGAAAAAATATGTAAGCTGCTGCAAGAAGCATACTGAAATATCACAAGACCATGCTCCTACCTGGTGAGGGTTGGGCGAAGGGTTTCTAGGAGAACAGTGGGGTTATGTGGGGGCCATGTGTGACTGAGAGGTGCCTCCCGAATCTTTGTGGCCACTGGAGTGCACAGCTGTGGAGCTCAGCTGCATCAACAGAACCGAGGTGCCCTGTGTGTCGGGCTGTGACCTCCTTCTGCTGGGACAGCAGGGTGCAGTGGAAAGAGAGCTGGGCATGGAATCAGAAGACTCAGGTATGAGTCTCAGCCCCGGGGCGAGGTGCCTCATTTCTCTGAGCCACTATTTCCCTAACTGAAAGGCAAGAAGAAAACTGACCCACTGGATGTGCCTCACAGGCGTGTTGTATGGTTTAAATAAAAAATGGCGTCTGAAAAGCGTTATGTAAATTAGAAAGCTCCATAAAAGTGCAGGCTGTATTTCGTAGCCTGTGAGACAGTTGTCTGTGATCCTTAAAAAAACAAAACAAAACAAAACAACCCAACAGCTTTCTTAAATCACTTTCCTAAGATACAGATAAAAAGGTTAGTGAGGGTCGGCCGAGTGGCGCGATGGTTAAGAACTCGCTTGGGACGCCAGAGGGCCCGGGTTCGGATCCCACATATGAGGGCCAATGACACTGCCCTCCACAGCTAAGATGCTGAACAACAGCTCA